AGACTGTCCAGTCCTCACCGGAGACGTCCAGATAAAGTTCAAATGCTCCTCGGTAAGGCGGCCGGCGCCAACCGGCCGGCTCCGCGAACGACGCACACTGGTGCTGCAGATAACTTCCCGCGGACATAAATACTGCATGCTAAATTTGCACCGCACTGTCGGCTTCCAATAAACCGCATGCCGCAGCCGAATTGTGGTTGTCTAGCACACATTTGGTCAAATATGACAACAAACAAGCGAAGAAGCTCTAAATAAGCTATTGAATGTGCGCTGCACTTTACAGTGGCCGAGCTGTATGGCATTATTTCACGAGAAACGGGTCGATTTTTCTAAAATGTCCAAATCTGGAAATGTTGACCGTTGATGACCTTTGGTGGCCTGGCCTTTAGCCTGACGATGAAATGCCAAATGTGCAGACTTCGTACCTAGTATTTATAAGTTTCCAAACATTTTGAAGCTCTGAGCTCCATCCAGAAGGGTGCTGATCAGTATTACACATACGTTGGCGAACAGCGCTCCCAAGAATGTTGCTCCAAAGGCATCCCTTATGTATTGTCGCAATCCTGTTTACAGAGAAACGTGCCCCGAGGCTATGAAAACGTGGCGTTTTACTTCTGGTTCCACACCGGCTTTATCACAAACAGCAGGTAAATGTGCAGATCGCTCGCCGCGACTTCGCCTTATAGCCGCCCGTTAAGTCGCGGAATAGGACGCGCGCCTATTTATAATTGAATTCCATGACGGTTTATATAAGACGGTTTATATAAAAACTGCGTGAGCGATGAGTGACCGCATAAGTGACTCGCTCATTTGTAGGTACATTGATTTCAAGACAGCAATATTTGTAATTTCAAATACTTCTTCGTCACGCATGGATCACCGACAAGAAAAGTGATAGCACATTACTATTTCACACAAGCTTAGGTAGGTACCCACCTGATTTCGTTGGTCGTGTATCAGTCCGGTTCGACTTCGAGTCTTGTAGGCACAGACAATTTCGGCTCCATTTCACACTTTTGCATACGTCTATTACAGACTCACCCTGATGCGAGAGGATCTGGACAACCCGCACAAGCCCAACACGTGGGACGTCTACACCGACAAATTCCGCGTGGAGTGCACGTTTGGCTGATGGAGCGACGGTGGCGCCGCCACCGGCGCAGTCGGGAAACTTTGCGTCGGGTCTCGGGTGGGCGGGGCGGGGGATGAAGATGTGTGCGGGGGGAGGGACGGGGAGGGAGCGACCGTTATGAAATATACGGACGATACGGTCGGACGGTTGGCAAAAGCCTGACCCTGTTTAGTCACGTCACTGTTTTGTATGATAAGTGGATCATAGTGAGAGATGCTGTTTACGCGATTTTCTTTCATTGTCGCGCGCATTTTACAGCGCAAACGCTTATTTATGTAGGCATTCGTGACTGGTAAACTTGCAGATATGCTGAAACTGGGTCATCAAGAACAGCAGAAACACAGTTTGAGTGTGCTCCCGACCAAGTTGTGTGTCATCTATGCGTCGCGGTCGCCTCGCTTTTGAGCCGTTTTACTGTAGCTAGGTACCCATATGTGATCTTCCTGCAGTTTTTGCACCGATCGACCCAACGTTCAGCATACCTTGGGTATTGAGGCTGCTATGAATCATCCATAACGCTAACCTAAAATGTTCGGTACATAACAGCAATTCCGAGAATCAGGCAGAAGTTCAAAGTCTTCAAGTGTTTGCCTTCCTCGCAGTTCTCGCATGTCAAGCATCCTAAATAGGTAACTATGCGTCTATGTGTCTGGCTCTTTATATCCGCACGTAACATATAGCTACAAGTAATTAGTGTGCAGTGAGCAGTCATCCACTTGCACTTGGGAGTGACATGTGACACCTTTAACTGTTTGGTTCATGACCACTTGACCAGAGTTTAGAGAGAGACCCTTACTATGCGCGAGCTATGCGCTGCGATATTCGAGCGGAGCTGTTACGTGCGCTGGCTTCCTCGGTTTAGGTATGCACTATTTCTTATGTGTGCATGCATGCTGCAGAGAGCGCATTGTTGATCGCTGTTCGCTGATTGCAGGAATGAGTGCGTCTAAATATTCTGCCGCCGTGACTGAGTGCTGACTGATGAGTGCGCCAAAGGCAGGCAGCTCTCTCTCTCTCTCTCTCTCTCTCTCTCTCTCTCTCTCTCTCTCTCTCTCTCTCTCTCTCTCTCTCTCTCTCTCTCTCTCTCTCTCTCTCTCTCTCTCTCTCTCTCTCTCTCTCTTTCTCTCCTCCTCCTCCTCCTCGTTATACCTCTCCTATCGACTTTATTTAACGTTCAGGCTCCAGTTTTGGCACTGTGCCGAAGCTAACAGTCTCCCATGTGCGGCGCAGCGCGTATCAATTATTGTGTGCTCGTTTATTTTACACGCACGGAATTGCTCGGTCAGCCTACAGACGGTGCCGAACCGAGAAATGAGTGTATATGTTACAGGCAAAGTGAAAACTCGGGCATTTTGCAAAATGCCTAGGCAATTTGCAAAATGCCTGACCGGCTAGGCATTTTGCAAAATGCCCAGGCAATTTGCAAAATGCCTGACCGGCCAGGCATTTTGCGAAATGCCTAGGCAATTTGCAAACTGCCTGACCCACCAGGCATTTTGCAAACTGCCTGGGCAGTTTACAAAATGCCTGGCGGGTCAGGCATTTCGCAAAATGCCTGAGTTGTGATTGATTTATTTTACCGTTTTTGTTTACCACAGGCGTTGACCACGTCGTTCCCATGTGCCTGAGCCCCAAGCACATTCAATATTTACGAATATACCCACGTCTTCCGCCACTTCCGTCGAGATGGAGCCACTACTGAATGGACTGTGTAGATTGAGCCAACGTCTCCCTATACTTTTCGTATACGGAGTTGTAGCCGTGCGTGTGTACGAATGCTGTGATGGGGCGCGGAGCAGGGCACAGAAAAAAAACATGGGCGCGGAAAAACGCGGCGACCGCCCGAATATTGACCCGACATTCTTCGCTTCCCGTGCTTTCTTACATCACGGCAACAGAGGGCCGCAGTGACACGGGGTTGCCAGCTCGATCGATAGAACAGAGACATCGTATCCAATAAGCATTTTTGTTAATTACGTGTGGCCCGCCAATCAAACTACCATACATCGAAAGAACATTCTTTTCTGATCAGATCTACCCAAAGTATTTCCAGAGTCATCAAGGCTCTTAGAAACATTAGCATGTTTAACGCGTGTTTACCGATAAAACCGCGCCGGGCGCCCGGCAGCCGGCGCGGCGGTCGGGCCGCTGCCTGGGGCTCAGTGACCCTGAACTCGGCAGCGCTACCCGGAGAATGTCTCACTGTGTGTCCTCCCACTTGGTGCGTATCGCTTGTGATTAACCCCTGTAAGCGGCACTTACAATAATGCTTACGCATCGTCGCTGGTGTGAGTTCGATGTCGGGCATTTTGCAAACTGCCTGAGAAAATAATTTCAGGCAGTTTGCAAAATGCCTGGTGGGCCAGGCAGTTTGCAAACTGCCTAGGCATTTTGCAAAATGCCTGGCCGGTCAGGCATTTTGCAAATTGCCTGGGCATTTTGCAAAATGCCCAGCCGGTCAGGCATTTTGCAAATTGCCTAGGCATTTTGCAAAATGCCCGAGTTTTCACTTTGCCTGTAACATATATATCGTTTCTGTATACCAAAGACAGACACTGATATACGTATGTATGTATGTACGTTCATCTTGCCATAAACCGGGTGAGCTGCACCAGAATACAATGTTTTATTGTGAGCATGTAATGTTAAATACACCTCAGGCTCTGCTCCAGATGGATTCTGCTGCACTTTGATATGCTTAAAGTAAAATAATTCTCACTCACTCACACACACTATAAGTAAATACACCTAATCCTATACGAAGAAAAGGCAATAAAAATTCCCATTTTTGTTCCCAAAAATTCCCATTTTTGTACCAAAGACAGACACTGATATACGTATGTATGTATGTACGTTCATCTTGCCATAAACCGGGTGAGCTGCACCAGAATGCAATGTTTTATTGTGAGCATGTAATGTTAAATACACCTCAGGCTCTGCTCCAGATGGATTCTGCTGCACTTTGATATGCTTAAAGTAAAATAATTCTCACTCACTCACACACACTATAAGTAAATACACCTAATCCTATACGAAGAAAAGCCAATAAAAATTCCCATTTTTGTTATAGGTAGGTAGGTAACTACGGTATGAGACGAGTCATAGTTCACACTTGAGAAATCGGTAAAAACAGAACGCTTAATATGTTAAAATGGGAAAGCTACGTTGCGCGAAGTCTTAACTTCAACTGTATTTTACAACGTGTGTTACGTAAGGTATTAGGTATGTATTTACAAAACCTCTTATTCTAAATCAAATCAACAGAGCTCGTCCGCCTGATGCAGACGATGCACTACTATGAGTTTCAGGTCATACTTCAGGTGCAAATTTCTCCCTCCCCCTCTTCACTACAGCTCCCATGGATATACAGACCATGGATAGGTATACATACACATGTAATGTAGGTACAGCCCACCGCTAAAGTAATGTGTGGATTTACCAATCTCAACGGATGGCTTTGACCGACGATTTTTAAATGCGGACTGATTGAAAAGAAGACGTCAATAGATAAAGTTGTAGCTGCAAGGGTGAAGATACATGTAAGCTACATGTAAAGTCTCGTTGCAGTCTGGCCAATCGTTCCTAGGCTTCAGAAGCAGAACATACCCATGACTGAAACCACACATTACTTCTGCTGTGGACTGTACATACCTACCAGGCCACCACTGCCTACACCAATCCAACGGTTCGGTTCGCTGATGTCTCAGCCGGAGATAGCCCTGGATCCCCGTATTGTGATGCGAATAAAAGCGGCCCTTGTCGGAGGACCCCCGCTGTCCTCTCAGTCCTCTCACCTTGGCCCACAGAGGAGGTCGTTTGCCGGGCTGACGTCAGGGAGGAGGCGCACGGATAGTTTATACGTAGGTCGGGGAGGGGGCGGGCGGCCCGTATCCGGTTTGGAGCGTGGGCCGCCGGCCGGTCGCCGCCCGCCGCCCCGTCCGCGGACCGCGGCTGCACGGACAGTGCCGTGCTGTGTGCGAGCTGCTGCAGGGGTCGCTGGTCAGTGAGCATGGGCCGCCCTCCGTCACGGCTGGGACTGGCGCTGGCGGTACTGGTCTGCTGCGGTGAGTTCCCCGGCCGCCGGCCGCTCCAGTCGCCGCTGACGGGCAGAGACTGCGTATTATATCCTTAGGAACGTTCAGGGCCATCGACAAGGGAACCAAATGTATCGATGTTGCTACTGCGTAAATGTATAGCTGGATAAATGTGCGTCGGACAATAGACAAATATTTTACAGAGAACGGACACTCGGATGCTAGATGAAACACATGTGCAGAGTGTATACATAATGCTGCAGCATGTATGACGATTGCTTAAGCAGCCCGAACTAAATTACGGACCCAAAGCGGGTCCATATAAGTATCTAAATAGTTTTGTCCGCAACGCATCATCGGTCTCGACTATTGGAACGCATTAACGCCTCATGAAGTGTGCGGTAGGCAATGAAGTAAATTAGGCTTTGATTTTCAATAGCTCAATCTAAGCACGACTGTGAAAAGTGGATATCGCTGATAACTCTGAAAGCTGCTGTTTTTGCCTCGGTGCATGACGCGCAGCGTTCCGTAATTGGGGGATGGTTCGGTGAGGGTCGCTTTCCCTGCAGCGTCCACGTCATCGCAAATTTGCAGCAGAGTATCAAGGACATCATGAGCGCTGTGAACCGAGCTCCGCCTGTGGGCGGAGCTCGGTTACGCATTGCGTGTCCGCTGTGGTGCGTCAGCGTGCATGTTCCGTTATTGGGTCACGCTCGTTAAAGACTGCATGGTGCATATCTTTTGGATCTGTCTGGCTACGGTATATACGAAGTCATTTAACTCATTTAGCCATCGGGCCGAATCTACTCTACTAAGCTAACAATTCAGGATTAATAACGACATTTTTCAACAGGAAATGTAATCAAAGGTAACGACGCACTGCCGGTCCTAGCCTGTGCTGGGTGACTGAGTGCCCCTGTCGACTCGTTTTGGCAGGTGCGCTCGGCGCGCGGGCCGCCCCAAACGGCCGTCTGCGGCGGCAGGCCTCCGGCGGGTCAGGAGACAGCGACACCGCCTGTGTGATGCGCCACATCGGCGACGGGGAGTTTAAGGAGGAGTGCAGGAGCATCCGCGCCGAGTGTGACCAGAAACAGTGTCCTGTCGACACCGTCTGCGGCCTGGACCTCGACGAGAACATCACCTGTTTCGACGCGTCGGTGAAGGAGTTCGAGAACTGCGGCCCCGAGTCGTTCCGCCTGCAGCAGCCGTGCCCCGCGGACGCCGGCATCCGCGGGTTCGGCATGGGCTGCACCTTCTGCAAGGGATACCCGGCCAACGAATTCTTGGGCGGTCGGGGCTCGTCGGCGCCTCAGGCACGCGGCGGCCTGACGACCGCGGCCGCCGTCATGATCAGCTACCTGCTGATGTGAGCCGCCGATCAGGCCGCTGCGTCCCCTCATCGCCTATGATCGCTGTACCGCTCTCGCCGCAATAACATGTAACCAAAATAATACAAAATGACACGATTATCACTAAACGCATTGTTTAAAGGCCGATTATGTATAAAAAAAGATCAGAGATCCAATTGGGTCCTAGTATTCTTGGGTTTCCTATTGTAATGTGCCTGTTTCCTGTTAAGGAGTTTGGAAAGCTCCGCTTGCAGACTTGTCCACGATTGAATGAATTTAACGAAATAAAAGAACAATTGATAACAATGAAATCAATAAGTAGAATAACTTAGGTCTTTTATTTATTCAGCGAATGTCAATTTTATGCTTAGCGAGCTCTAGGTAGGTACATTTATCTTACGCACAATGCACATGATTATGAAAGATAACAAATATCAAAACATCAAAGACCCGGGACGGAACAGTTTTTTTCCTGTTTTGTATGTAAGTACCTACCTACCCGCCCACGTCATTCTTAGTTCGTTATATTTTAATTTAATGCCAGTTGCGGCTGGGTGAAATGATTGGCGGGATTCTTTACGGCAAAAATAGTCCCGGATCCGATTAGAGGGCCTCCATATCGGCTTTATCTCCGGCAGCTACAAAGGGCGCGCTGCCAAGAATGTTGGCGCGGCCAGTCTGCCGAGAACCGCGCGTCCTTTACAGAGCAGTGACCGCGGATTGTCTGCCGGCCGGGGACGGAGCCGGGTCCGGCCGTCGCGCCGCGGCTCCAGCCGGCTCGTGAACTTGGGAGCTGAGGTCTGCAGGTGTGTAGCGAAGGTCGGATGACGCCGAGTCCAGCCCATGGACAAGGACATATACTCGCCTGAATCCGCATCTACGAGTGTGCCTACACTGTAAAAATGTTTACTACATTCCGCGCTAGCATGGCAAATCTTACTCACCCAAGGTGTGCTGAATTGACACTAACGTCTTTTGGGTTAACGCTAGGTCAATTTAACGCGCTTTGGGCTGGCAAGATTTGCCATGATAACACGGAGCTTAGCAGGGAAATATTTTTACAGTGTAAGTATGGGTGATGGATATCCGCCCCCAAACGTAGTACCTATTTCAGAAGTTCCGAACCATACCCCCTTTGCAAAGTGGTTTCAGCTGCCAGCACAGACACTCACGAACGGCTTAATCAAGATTGTGTTGGTGCTTACGACATAAAAACACTGCAGAAATACTACCGTTATCAAAAAGACGTATATTGAGGCACAGAGCAGCATATTTTAAATGTAAATATGTTAAAATATGCTGCTCTGTGCCTCAATATACGTCTTTTTGTTAATCTTTACCAGAGCAATGAACAGTAATATCAATACTACCGTTATGTTATAGAAAAACCTAATGACTTTTGTTTGCCATCTTACATAACTCTGTAGAATATATGCTTTACTCTGGAGAACGGACATGGTAGCATCAGCCAATAGGTTCCTTGTATAATTCAAGGTCGCATCGTATCTCCCTGGGTATTCATAAAGCTCTGACTGATTCGCTATACAGCGGCCGGGTCAGATCGGTGGGGGCGCCCGCTGCGCGTGTGTGCTGAATAATGAATGAATCCCCCGCTGCTGGCACGTTACGCCATCGAGCGATGGCCCGATGGCACACACCAGAGTTGAGACTTCCCAGTACCTACATGGGAGAAGGGTACCGTCCACCAGTCACCTAACTGCATGTCCGGAAATGGCATCCCGTGCTCATCTATTTTCACACATTCATTGAAATCGATAGAATGAATGGTTAAGCACATCTCGATTAGCGAAATACAGCGGAAACATGGGCAGCCAATTACACGATAGACGTCTATTTTTTTCTATCCCTCTGTAATTTAAATGCGGTTTGTACATCCTATGACTTTGAGTTAATAAAACACGTACCAAAGCTAATGCTCATATTTACATATGTACTTACAAATTAAGCAGCCACACTATGTAGTGCATTTAGATACCTACCTCTAAACACACTCAGGTTACTTTGTCTGTGTCCTTAATTACGTTACAGGAGTTAATCCATTTCAAGTGTGCAGTGTGCACGGTTCTCGCCTCTCGGTTATTACGATTCTCAAATCACGAATTCCACTAGCTGACCAGCCGAACAACGCAGGTTTTCAGCTACAATGTCCCGGGACATTTAACAATGTCCCGTGCTGTGACCCGGTCCGAGCTGCTACCCCGTGCTGTGACCCGGCCCGAGCTGCTACCCCGTGCTGTGACCCGGCCCGAGCTGCTACCCCGTGCTGTGACCCGGCCCGAGCTGCTACCCCGTGTTGTGGCCCGGCCCGAGCTGCTACCCCGTGCTGTGACCCGGCCCGAGCTGCTACCCCGTGCTGTGACCCGGCCCGAGCTGTGCTGTGACCCGGTCCGAGCTGCTACCCCGTGCTGTGACCCGGCCCGAGCTGCTACCCCGTGCTGTGACCCGGTCCGAGCTGCTACCCCGTGCTGTGACCCGGCCCGAGCTGCTACCCGGTGCTGTGACCCGGCCCGAGCTGCTACCCCGTGCTGTGACCCGGCCACCCGGCTGAGCAGCCACCCGGACTGCTCAGCCGGGCGGCAGTGAGGGGCGCCCCTCTCTCCTTGAACTAGTGGTGACCGTCCGTCCGGCCGTCCGGCCGCCCGGCGCCCCTGTGCTGTGTTGCCCAACGCGGCGTGTCTGGGAGGGCCGGCCCGCATCTGCGCGGCGCCACCTGCTCGCCGGTGACTAGCTACACCCGCTCACCGGCCGTACCAGAGTGTGCCAGAGTGCAGTTCTGCGCCCGAGCGCGGCCGTACCGGACTGCAGTTCAAGTTCTGCGCCCGAGCGCGCTGCGAGCCGCTCCGAGCGACCGTCCGTTCCGTGACTTCTGAGCCCACACACCAGTAGCGCGCCAGACGCCCCAGCGGCCGCCCGTCCGCCCGTCCGCCCGTCCGCCCGTCCGACCCACCCTGTAGACCGCCGTGCCCGCACATCAGTAGGTTCTGCGCCGTGCTGACACCAGCCCGCCACCGGAGCCGACGCCATGAAAAGACCCCCAGCGCTGGTGCTGGTGCTGCTGCTGGTCACCACTGGCCGATGGGGTGAGTGGTGCTGATAACAGGGGTGGATGGTACCGATAGGAGGGGTCAGTGGTGCCCGAGGAGGGGTCGGTGGTGCCGATAGGAGGAGCTCTAACTTCTAAGCACCCGGGAGTCCGCGTGGTCGTGGGTTCGCACGAAAACAATACAAGGTGGATGGCTGCAGCCTGCAGGAATTGCTAGCTGGCTGCCATAGTTAGTTATGATCTGATCACAAGTGAAATAGAAGATTTGGTATCGCACCGTATAGTCTTCCTGCATTATATCTGGTACAATATTTGTGTCGTGAATAATAAGTGATAATGATGTGAATAGCAAGAAGCTCAAAGTCCGAAGTAATTAAAAATAAAACACATGAAAAACAATTTTAAGGAAAAGAATAAACATTCGTGTGTTACAAAAATTAACCCCCGCCCGCCCCGCACATGGGGGGCTGCCACCCCCCCCCCCTTCAGGTAGTCTTTCTGCTCTGCACTCAATATTTTTAGAGCTAGAAGCCTGATTTTTCGTATAGCTGCTCCTCTACCTATCCTTTCTTGATGTCCACTGAAAATTTCAAGTTTCTGTGTTTTTTTTTTGTTTCGGAGATATGACCTTGTTTTTCAGGTCATGTCATGACCCAAATGACCAATTCTCAACATATTGCGTTGGCTATGGGCCTTGTGAGCTTTTGACACCTTGATTTTGGCCTTTTTGCCAGTCTTACCTCTCATTTATCATGGAACATGTTGTTCGACAATGTACAGATGTCAAGGTCAGGGTCAAGGTCAACCTAGCTCATCTAAAATAATTGCGTTTTAGGCAAGCTGAATTTACTTTTCGTGAAGTTTTTTTACTGCATTTTTGGTAAAAGCTTCTCAGATCATGATTTCATGTAATATGGACACATAAACAATCGGTGCACACATCAGTATGCACACAGACACACACAGACATACAAACACATATCATTGACCTTGACCTAACTTGACCTGAAATGACCTCAGCAGCAAAAACCTGGTCGGGTAGTGTGACAAAGAGGTTCTAGCTGGCTTGGCACCAGAAAACGGCATCGTCATCGTTATATGCTAAGCAGCGCACTTGATATCCAACGGTGACCCAAAACAGCAACATTTTTTAGTTTGACCTGACCTGGAAGGTCAATGACTGACCTGAGAAGGTAAAACTGGGTATCATTGGATTCGTCTCTTCCCATGAAAGAATCTTTTTGGTTTTTTACCGCGAAGCTGTATCTCCAACAGGAACGAAAATCGAAATGGCGCGGGGGTGCCACCCCCATGTGCGTTCTAGGATGGGAAAATGGCATGTGCGGGCGAGGGTTAACTGGAAGGCAACATTTAAAGGAAGAAAACAGCTTTTAACACGCTTAATTGAACTTACAATCAAGAGTTTCGTCCGTAAGTCGCCATATTGTCGGTATTACCAACGAACCTACCTTGCAAGCATAAGTTTTATATTATATATTTTCAATGAACGGAATATAAATCATAGCACGGCACCAGTAATCTAAATGTCTCACACACTGACTACGACTAGAGCTGCGGCTGTTCTGAGCGGCCACAGGCCATCCGTTCAGGAGCCTCATGTTACCGAGTGGTAGAGCGACTCCAAGCTGGCTCTATTCGACCCATGGCGTCCTACACTTTTCCCTTGAGATGCGGGCGAACAAGATAAGCATTCACTCAAAAAAAACTTTAGATAAAATTAGCTCGGTAGCACTAGTTTTTAAAGATATTGGAACGGTTTTATATAATACCGAATTGGCCTTCTTTGCAATCCGATAAGATTGTGACTTGTTGTCACAGATGATCTACAAACGCTGAATGCAAAGTCAACAGTTATCGACAACAGCACATTGGTACTTACCTAATACCTACCTACGTAGTAGCTATTACAAAGAAAATCGCCTTTGATCCGCTCAACTTCCGGATGCACCCGGTTATGGCCAGCACCAAAAGTTCCTCTGCATTGCTCTGCAGATAAGATTTTTCAGCGGTGGACGTTGATCCCTGCAGCAAGTGACGTCCGGAAAAGGGCCTGCGCGGTTGGACCGAGGCTAGATGAGCTGGGTGCATCCCGTTGTGTTAGGCTCTCCGAGTTCTCACTGACTGAGGCATGAGCAGCATTTGCGCAATACTTTTGTATGAATACCGAACTACAGAACGGCGCTAGCGCCTCCACCAATACGCATATGTAAATCCCATTCGCGCCGCTGGCCCGTCAATCCCCATTCATACCACGTGCAGTTGAGGCGTTGGTGTGCACACTGCACAGTACAAAGTGCATTGTGCACACCCGGAAAATCCCTGGCGGCTGTTTGCACCAGGCCCGTACCTATCGCGTGCAGGCAGTCTGTTGGAACACCTCCCGTGACGGCCGATGGTGAGAATGTCTGTCTGGTGGCGCCGAGCGTCCCTCGCGCTGCCGCGCCGCCGATCGGGAATACTAATGGGGCGCGCACGGTGGGTTCCTCTGTATACACAGTGTGGGTGTAGGTATACTTACCGTGCAGTCTGTCGGGGCTGCGTCAGAGCTCTGTCACAGACGCTGCGAGCTGTGCAGACGCGCGGTCCCGTGACGCTGTGTCAGAGCCGGCCGTGGACCACAGCTCGGTAGGCAGGTATGTGGCTGGGGTGAGCCTCGGTCACTGCCCCAACAGCACATGCAGGTTGATGACTTCAGAATCCCCTATAATTCACTGTAGGAATACCAAATATAGCATAATCCGATTTAGTAACCAGGAAAAGAATTACTGATCGGCGTGGCTTAGTGGTTAAACAAGTTTTGGAAAAGGCACAAGTCTGGTGGTCAAGATCTAAGGCCGCTTTGACATCCAGCATTATGCTGTTTACATGAAATCCGACTTGTTTTATGATAGCTCGTGGCAGCGTTATGCAACGTGTTTGCTTCCCACTGGGCCGGACAATTTAATATTTACATAATTTTCCGAACCGATGGTAGTTGAACCGGTGCATGCATTCAGCGCTTACTAGAATGCAATTCTCTTCTGCGGGTCACGTGCCTCCCTGTCTATTAGCGTGGGTGGCGAATCCGAAGTCGCCCATTCTCAAATCTCCCGTTATAGCCCCCCCTCCCCCCCCCCCCCCACCGGTGCACTAACTCCCCGATCAGCTCCACCTCTCGAGCTCGTGGCTCAGTCCGTGCAGAATGACGCTGGCCCAGTTCGTTAGGTACTGCAGCCACCGTTTGATTTGAAACAGAGCCGGGCCAGTGCCACCGTCACACTATTCAGAGTGACAATGGAGCGCTCTGACCACGGCAATCGCCGGGTGGCGATGGCCGTGGTCAGAGACTCGCCCGGCCGACTCGCCCGGCCGGCTCCTATCGCCTCTCCGGCTCCCGGTCACGTATGGCAGCACACAGGCGGTGCCGAGCAGACACAGAGCAGTAGACCGCGCTGTTAAACTGGCCACCGCATGGTGTCTGTTATTCACCGGCGCTTTTCCGGCCGATGAGGCGCAGCTGATTAGTCCAGCACGGCAGACGCCTGATGAGCGACGAGTTCGCCAGTCATCCGTGTATTGGCTGTTTATACCGTTCAGAGGAGAGACCACGCCGTCACTACATTCATCAAGAGTTCGTGTTTCCTGCTCTCTTTTCACAGTGACACCACGGCTGTCACAGAAAGTCCCTACGCGACATGTGAAACCCAAATCTGGCGACAGCTCACGACGGAAGTCTGTCTGCGGCACGTGTGACCGCGCCTGAGGCGCCGCTGCGGGACGATCCAGTCAGTCGGTCGGTCGGTCGGTCGGCGGAACTGAGTTCGGTTCGCACCGGTTTACCAGTGACCTGGAACTGCGCGACGCGCTATCACGCCGTGAAATGTGTGAAATCGGCAAACTGGAGCCGTGACTCGGCGGCCGTGACGATTGGCGGTGCAGCCGTGACGATCTGTGACGAGTTGGCGTCGCCGAGGCCCGCTAACGCTCGGCGGTCGCCGTAAGTGCCGGTGGATGTGCACTCAAAGCCGTGACCATGTGCCTTCAGAGCCGTGACCAAGTGCCGTACGCACTTAGTGAGCAGGAAAACGGTGAAATTCTGCGCCACACATATGATGTGGCGTGATCTGCGTCGATTTTGAACTACTTGGGAGGCCTGCTGAAGACCATGCATTATCACACGCTTTCAGCTTAAAACGATGAAATAGTATGCAGTGCTGTAGCAAAGAACATCTTTATATATGCATGTAGGTAGTTTGAATTTCAAATAACCCTTTTCCTCGATGGTTAATTGAAATTTTGATAAAAGCAAGTAGTATATACTATATTGTTTTGCAAATTTTCAAACAACAGTTTATTCTCGAGCCACATGAAACAATTGACAACGAAGTGTTAAAACTGCCGCCAAGCTACTTTTTTACAATTATCACACGTTATTGAAGTGTTCTTCTTTAACCCTCGCTCCGCTGGGGGGGGGGGGGCAATTTGGCCCTCACCCCCTGTGGTTTTTCCTGAAGCAAGAAAAGCAGCGCCACCAAATTTTCAGTACCTTCCCGGGCATCAATTTGACACCTTCACACAAAAGTTCAAGTCTTAGGTCAACTTAGGTCAGGAGTTATTCAGGTCAAACTGAGGTCACGTCAAGCAAAAATGAGCAAAAAACATGAAATCTTGAAACGCTCACAAAAGTTACAGTTACTAGGTAATTGCAAAGTTCTTTATATGGTCATGTAGACAAATAGCGGCGCTACAAAACTGCCATCTCGGATTATCAAAACTTTGGGATTTTAACCCCCAAAAAATAAAAAATGATTTTTTAGAAAAACGCAAATAAATCCCACAGTTTTTCGGAATTTCGAAAAAACGGAATATATGTGATAGTCCCTGCATTCTTCTATACACAGTAAACATGCCGACGTCGGCCCGACGTCGGGCCGAGGCTCGGCCCGACGTCGGCCCAGCGTCGGTTCAACCTCGGCCCGACATCGGCTGGACGTCGGATATGCCCGCATGTTCCGACGTCCAGCCGAAGTCCAGCCG